AAACGATTCTGGACCTGAATTTATTAAAATTGAAGCTGTAGCTGTAAAAAGCGTCATATGAATTAAAAAAAAACGCATTACGCACTTATTTTTCAACTAAAAAAAAAAATTAAAACTACAATCAATTACAAACGATTCCAGACCTGAGTTCATTAAAATTGAAGCTTTAGCTGTAAAAAGCCTCATATGAATTTTTTAAAAAACGCATTACGCACTTATTTTTCGACTAAAACCAAAAATTTTAAAACTACAATCAACTACAAACGATTTTGGACCAGAATTCATTAAAATTGAAGCTGTAGCTGTAAAAAGCTTTGTTGGAGACATGAGCCCTTAACTTACCATTAATTCGTGTCCATTTTTTATTTCATCTGGCCAGGCTGGCACCAGAGTAGTTGGCAACGAGCGCCTTGCCTAATCCGCCCACCACTGAGTTGGTAATTTTTAATTGCTCAACAGCCGCCCAAGCGACAACATCACCAAATCAAATTAGCCTAAACTCGTGCATCTCCATATATATCAATTAAACTCTAACGTGTAATCACATTAAACGAATAAACCTGGATTTATATTTCAATTTCTACTAAACAAATCCCTTCATATTTTTCTTTGTGCGCTCTGCACAGTCGGACTCAAACCCAAACATTAAACATGGTCCTTTTGAGGCCTTTAGAAACGAAGTGGCACCTCAAAAATCTCCAAAAATAAAGAAACACAGCTCTGGGCGGCCTCTTGGGCATATTATAAAATTGACTCAAGTCAGTAGCGAGCGAGAAATCATAAAGCGCGGACATTTAAATACGAGCAGTGAGCGACAAATAGTCAGTCGGGAAATAGTAAAACGAAAAGACAATTTAATTTGCAAAAAAAAACCATTAAACGTGGGTGAAAATTATAAATTAAACAAACAAACAAGACAAATTACAAAATTAAACACGAGTAAAAAGTTTGTGAAAAACCAAAAAAAAAGTTTAAACATTGCGAGCAACAACATATTTGCTTTGCGATACCAAAGCAAATTGAACAGTGTGGTGAAATTACAAAAAGTTTGTGAAAAAACAAAAAAAAGTTTAAACGTTGCGAGCAACAACATATTTGCTTTGCGATACCAAGGCAAATCGAACAGTGTGGTGGAATTACAAAATTTTTAACAAATTTAAACAGTCAAACGAAAACGACAAAAATTTAAAATCAAACAAAAAATTTGTGACAATTGTGCAAAAAAAAACTACAAAAATTTAAGACAATACAATTAAGAGATTGTGAGAAAAATTTTTTAAGCGTTGCGAGCAGCATACCTGCAACAGCAACAAATTTTTAAGCGTTGCGAGCAGCATACCTGTAACAGCAACAAATTTTTAAGCGTTGCGAGCAGCAGACCTGCAACAACAACACATTTTTCAAGCGTTGCGACCGCCAGCAGTATACCTGCACTTAACGGAGAAGCGGTGCAAACGCCCTACTGGAGCATAAAAGGCGTAAGCGGTGCGACCCCAGCACTACCAACAATTTCACTACAAACCGGACAGAACCCCTACCCGAGGAGGCGGAACGGAAAAATAAATCAAACCGGCTAAGTGAAAGCACCCATGGCTGAGTAAGTCCATATATTTCATGTGCATATGTATATAAATATATTGTGGTAGCCCGGTAATTATACGAAAATAAAAGGAGACCTAGTTTTCCAACTCCCGTTACTTCGAAAAAAGACAAGTTTTTTCAAACACCCCGTTAATCTCAAAAATTCCAGTTGCGCCTTGTTGAATTTAAAACGTATGCATATACATATATGTATATATATGTTTATATGTACATATGTATGTATGCACATAGTAACAGCAAATCAGCTAGCATCTTTGACTTTGCTAAAGTCGTACAGTAAAAGTCCTGTTATATTTTAATTTACATATGTATGTAGGCAAATATATCAGGCGGTAACCAAAACCAGCGAAAAATATTTGAGCGCAACTGTTTTTCATGTGTACATACATATTTACATGCATACAACTCCCACTCACTATTTCTGAGGACGTTTTAACTCATTGTTCTGAAGCTAGCAAATTCGCAGCGTTAGCAAATATATTCACATTCTTAATTGCCTATCTTCTCTATTCGCGCTCTATATCAGTGCCCCTGTAACTAGCTCATATGCGTACTGACTCTTAAGCGCAATATCAATTGCACTCAATATTCAAATAAAAGAAAAAGGGCGGAGCTTATTTGTACAGTGGGCCGCTGCTGACCATAAATTTCACTAGAGTACAGTGGTACGAAAGTGAAGTAATTCAACCCAAAGCTAACACCCACACAACCCAATAAATTAAATAAAACGTAAAAAAGCGGATTAAGGCCCATACATATATATACAAAAAATAAAATTTTTTCCTAATTACGTATATTTGTGAACACGTATACGGATATATTACATACATATCTACGACGGCTCAAAATAAAATAGCAAAAAATAGTCGATCGCGACTGTACCGCATTGCAGCTGTGCATAATTACATACGCTAATCGCCCACTCATTGTTATATCCTAATTCGCATAGTTAACTCACAACTTATGTACATTAATATATGTTTCTGACCCTTTAATCCAGCCTTCTTATATTGAGTGTACCCGCAACTTGCTCACACTCTAATATACGCATACACTCAATATTAATTCCACTCAATTTTAAATAAAATAAACAAAAAGGCGGAGCTTATTGGCACAGTGGGCCGGAGCTGACAAAATATCGCACTTGAGTACAGTGGTACAAAACTGAACGATTTTTACAAAAAAACCCAACCCCATAAAGAAAGCGAAATTAAAACTAAATTAAGTCACCGTTTTTTTAAACCGTAGAATATCTACTCATACCCACCCCCTAAAATATTTCGGTTTAAATTATAAACTCTTACTCTACCCATTTAATAAAATTTCGCCCAACAAAATGCCGCAAGATAAAGATACCCCTACTGAAAAAACCAAAAAAAAAAAATTGTCTCCAAAAATTTATTTTCGAAAGCAATAGGCTGGAGATTTTTTGTTCAAAATGGTCACCGTCCTTAGCCACTGATCAAACCGAAACCTTACTTGAGGTCAAAATCCAACAACTGGACAGCAACTGGGATAGCCTTTTAAAAGCTTACGAAGCAATATTCATGGACGATGATCACCCAGAAGTCAGTGGCTCAGTAGAACAAAAATACTGCAAATGCTCGGAGAGCTACCAAACCTGCAAGTCCCAAATGTTGGAAGCAGTACAACTTTTTAGAGTTAATACGACCCCTCAAGCTACCCAGCAAACATTCAACACGACTTTTACCCCAAACCCTTCTGCCTCCAACGAGGTTTATCTCAAGGTACCACCGTGCGACACAGAAGTATTCCACGGTGGCTACGAAGACTGGCCGGCATTTAGAGACATGTTTACGGCAGTCTATATAAAACACCCCAAATTAACCCCCGCTCAAAAGTTGTACCATTTGCGATATAAGACAAAGGGACAAGCAGGACTTATTGTAAAACAATACCCTCCTACCGACGAAAACTTTGCGCTTGCATGGGAAGCTTTAAAATCACGTTACGAAAACCCAAGAATTCTAGTGGATAACCAACTCAAAACCCTACTAAATTTGCAGCCCGTTTACGGAGAAAGTGGCGAGCAATTACAAACGCTACAAACAACAATTAATAATTGCCTCTCCACTCTTGCATCACAAAAAATTTCTACGAAGGACTGGGATCCCATTCTTGTGTACTTGTGTTCATCGAAACTACCAAGTGAGACACTTTCCCTGTGGGAGCAATCCCTCAGCTCTCGGAAAGAGTTGCCACTATGGTCAGAGATGAACAAATTCCTCACTTGCAGGTACGAAGTGGTTGAACGGCTTGGTACGTATCGACCGACTAAACCCAAACCACAGTTTACCCCCTTCAACCCTAGAGCTGGCAGTCACAGCTCCACATTTATTAATAAAAATCGCACCCAAAACTTCCACGTAGATTCCGGGAAACCAGTTTCATGCAAGCTGTGCAACTCCAATCACGCAATGAAACTTTGCGTTAGATTCAAGAATCTCTCTGTACCTGATCGTCTCAAATTCGTACGTGAGCACAAGTATTGTGAAAACTGCCTCTCTTGTTCACACTTAAAAGGTCAATGTCAGAGCAAATTTACCTGTGTATACTGCCAACAACGTCATCACTCATTACTCCATTTTCAAGCAAACCAGCAAAACTCGAAACCCAACCCAAAACCCCAATCATCGACGACGCAGGCAACAACCACAGTGGAAATAGCAGACGACATGCCCTCCACGTCAACAGGAATCATTCACACCCCACCAACCCACAAAAAAGCAGTCAACAAAGTTTCAACTCACTTCTCGTGCAGCAAAGGAACCACCCTATTACCCACAGCGATGGTACCAATTTACTTCGCGGGAGAATATCACCAGATCCGAGCAATGATAGACCAAGGCTCACAAAAAACCTTTGTCACGTCTCGGATCCAAAAAATATTAAATTTACCCACCAAAGAAACCCATTATGAAATATCGGGAATGGGAGGGCTAGTGGTCCAAAACTCGAAAAATGTTTGCGAGTTAACCCTTTGTTCTGCGGACTTAAAGCAAAAAATTCAAACCCAGGCAATTATTTTACCCCACCTGACCCATTTTCTACCCAGTCTCATGGTGTCATACGTAAACCTTCCAGAATTAGCAACTTTAACTTTAGCAGACCCTAATTGTTTCACTCCATCTCGAATCGATATGGTCATTGGGAGCGACGTTATTCCCCAAATTCTCACACAAGGACTATATCATGTTGCAGACGGCACACTCCTGGCGCAGAACACGATATTCGGATGGATAATTAGCGGACCAATAGCTGAAAAGGTGACGTCATTCACAACCCAAGTCATGGAACCCTCGAACGATGCTCTCAATACGCTATTGAAGAAATTCTGGGAGCAGGAGGAAGTATACCCTACCCAACCCCGTTCAAAGGAGGATGAATACTGCGAGAACCGGTATGTAGCGACGACAACCCGTCAAGAAAATGGAAGGTACGTTGTAAAACTGCCTTTCAAGCAAGAATTTCCTACCACTACAGCACTTGGCCATTCTCGTCCGGCAGCACAGCAGCAGTACTTAAGCGTAGAGAGTACGCTGCAACGAAAACCCGAACTGCGCGACAAATATAACGAAGTGCTAGAGGAGTACGTAACACTAGACCATATGACACCTTCCTCAGCCACTGAAATAATTAGAGAAGGAAAGTATTTCTCGTTTTATCTCCCCCATCATGCTGTCTTAAAACCCGACAGCAAGACCACAAAAGTTCGCGTTGTATTCAATGCCTCCAAAATGTCCCATTCTGGTCACTCTTTAAATGATGTGCTACACACAGGCCCCGTACTTCAGAACGACTTAATGGTAGTGATATTAAATTGGCGACTCTATAAGTTTGTGTTTAACGGTGACATTGAGAAAATGTACCGCCAAATACTCGTTGACGAAGAAGACCAAGATTTTCAACGAATTCTATTTCGAAGAACCCCAAGCTCGCCGATTCAAGACTTTAAACTCAAAACAGTCACCTTTGGAGTTAACTGCGCCCCTTATTTAGCAATTAGGACTCTCCATCAGTTAGCAGAAGACTCAAAGAGCTCATTTCCTCTCGCCCATAATATTTTACTACGAGAAACCTACGTAGACGACATACTGTCGGGGGGCCACGATATACAGTCCACTTTTAAATCGATGTCACAAGTGATGGATGCTTTAAGGTCAGCAGGATTTCCTTTACGGAAAATTACAGCAAATCACCCCAGCTTACTTAAATCAGTCCCCGATTCTGTTCTGTTAGACGTAGATTTCTTAAAGTTTCAAGACGCAAGTTCTACAAAAACCCTAGGAATACAATGGAACGCTCTGACTGACACCTTTTCCTACTCTTATGACCCCATTCCTGCTGAGAACTCAAAAACTAAGAGACAAATTCTGTCAGCGGTAGCGAAACTGTTCGACCCGGCAGGATGGCTATCGCCAATAATGGTCATGGCGAAAATCCTCCTCCAACAACTCTGGATGGAAGGGACCGGGTGGGATGAAGCGGTAAAACCAGGCTCTCTAACAAAATGGAACTCATTCCGAGAAAGCCTTCCAGCAATAGAAGACATAAAAATACCCAGGTGGGTGCAGTTCACGCCAAAGCAGTACATTGAATTGCATGGATTTTCGGACGCCTCCGAAAAGGCATTCTGTGCCTGCGTCTACATAAGAGTCCAACTCGGCGAAAACTCGTTCGCGTCCTCACTACTTGCCGCAAAAAGCAAGGTTGCACCCCTTCAGACCGTAAGTCTGCCCCGCTTGGAACTCTGCGGAGCTGTTTTACTCTCAAAACTGAGTAAGCAAATCCGATCCGAACTCAATCTGCCCTCTCATGAGTTAATCCTTTGGACAGATTCCGCGATCGTGCTGGCCTGGATGGAGAAGCCTCCACATACGTGGAAAACATATGTGGCTAACAGAACTTCCCAAATTGTGGAAAATGTAAATAATGCCCCTTGGCGCCACGTTCCCAGTCACGACAACCCTGCCGATTTAGGCACCCGGGGGTGCAAACCTCAAGATCTTGCCGCAAGCACTCTCTGGTGGAAAGGTCCAGCCTGGCTATGCAAGGCCCACACACACTGGCCGTCTAACACCAGAGCTTCAACTATTAACCCTCCAGAGGAGAGACAAATCGAAGTTTTTCATACCCTAGACAGCACGGATATACTCGAAAGATTCTCTTTTTTCCCACGCGCACTCAGAGTCATTGCGTACATGTATCGCTTCATAAACCATACCAAAGGGCTACCCATCTCCAACGTGCTTATATTATCCCAGGAGGAACTCAATCAAGTGAAGTACAAGCTGATAGCAAAAACGCAAAGAAATCATTACGGAGAACGATATCGTTACTTGAGTCATCGAAGTCACTCAGCAAGAAGAGCCCTCTGCTCACCCTCAATCCGATGCTCGACAATGCAGGCATAATGCGTGTAAATGGACGCCTTAAATATGCCGCACTAAGCTACAATGAGAGGCATCCTATAATAATACCCGATAACTCCATATTTTGCTCTCTTCTCCTAGATTTTCTACACACAACATTGCTTCATGCTGAGAAACAACTCATGATCCGGATGATACAACAGGAATACTTCATCCCACGTCTGAAGCAGTAGGTCAAAAAGTGCATTTTTCACTGTAAACCATGCACGTTATACAAACAGCGGATGAAATCCCAAATAATGGCTGCATTCACACTACTGGCGTTGACTTCGCAGGCCCATTCCTTATCAAAACGTCACCGCTTCGAAAAGCGTCGTACACAAAGGCATATGTATGTGTTTTTGTGTGTTTTTCTACCAAGGCCATTCATTTAGAATTGTGCTCCGACTTGACTACGGAAGCGTTCAAAGCGGCTTTTACCCGATTCACTGGCCGTCGTGGCCTGCCCCACAAGATTTTATCGGACAACGGAAAGACGTTTGTGGGAGCACAGCGAGCCCTAAAAAAGGATTTCGCTCTTTTCTTAAAGGAAGCGGCCTCTGATATCGCAGAAACATATGCGTTGCATGGATTCTCCTGGCACTTCATCCCACCATATGCCCCTCATTTCACCAAAGTCGCCGGAAATCAAAAATTCTCTTTCGAAGAGTTCGCAACCCTATTAGTTCGAATTGAAGCGGTTCTAAACTCCAGACCTCTCTCTCCCATGACACAGGACCCGCAAGATTTATTGGCACTTACTCCCGGGCATTTTCTACGAGGAGCTCCCATTGTCTCACCACCGGAACCGGATGCCAAAGAACTTTCACTCATAAATAAGTGGCAGAGACTCAAGGTTCTTCATCATCAGTTCAGCGTACGATGGAAGAACGAGTATCTACACGACTTACAACGGCGATACAAGTGGAAAACTTCCCAAAAAAACGTTCAAGAAGGAGATTTGGTTGTTGCTAAAGATGATTGGCTCCCTCCGACCGAGTGGCGACTGGGTCGCATCACACACTTGCATTCCGGCCCCGATGAAAACATTCGGGTTGTAGATATAAAATCCCAGCAGGGAATCATAACTCGAAACATAAATAAATTGTGTGTGCTTCCCCCTGCCTAACGTTAGGATACTCACCAAACCCGATACAATACTCTAATTACCTTTATGCTACCTATCCTACCCAACTCCCATTGGTCTACCCTTAGAATATATATCCCATGCGTATATGTACTTCTACTCATTACAAAGCCTCACAATATACGCTGACCCAGTACTAAAGTCTCTCCTCAATCCGTATATTTACAGGTCACGAAAGGATTCCCCCAAGTGCCGACTGTGTGGCCGACTCCACCCGCTGCGCTTGTGTACCGCTTTCCGCGCTATGGATGCCCACGACCGCTATGAGTGTGCACGCTTGCACAAATATTGTGTGAACTGTTTGGCGACTTCACACTCCACCGGAGCCTGCGATTCCGAGGACAGCTGCCATCGATGTGGCTTAGGGCACCACACCCTACTCCATCGAGAGAAGCGGGGCACCACGCGCCAGAAGAAGGGAAGTGTTAGGGCCGAGCTACACAGCCGTTCTGCTCAGCAACGGGCTCGGAGGTTGCGGCGACTGATTGCTGAAGCCCGAAACATCATGGACAAACTCGAAAGGGAGCTGCTGCACTTGGCACCGAGGCAGGCGGGGCGCCATGTTGGAGACATGAGCCCTTAATTTACCATTAATTCGTGTCCATTTTTTATTTCATCTGGCCAGGCGGGCACCAGAGTAGTTGGCAACGAGCGCCTTGCCTTATCCGCCCACCACCGAGTTGGTAATTTTTAATTGCTCAACAGCCGCCCAAGCGACAACATCACCAAATCAAATTAGCCTAAACTCGTGCATCTCCATATATATCAATTAAACTCTAACGTGTAATCACATTAAACGAATAAACCTGGATTTATATTTCAATTTGTACTAAACAAATCCCTTAATATTTTTCTTTGTGCGCTCTGCACAGTCGGACTCAAACCCAAACATTAAACAAGCTTCATATGAATTAAAAAAAACGCACTACGCACTTATTTTTCAACTAAAAAATAAATTTTATAACTACAATCAACTACAAACGATTCTGGACCTGAATTCATTAAAATTGAAGCTGTAGCTGTAAAAAGCTTCATAAAAATTAAAAAAAACGCGCTACGCACTTATTTTTCAACTAAAAAAAAATTAAACTACAATCAACTACAAACGATTCTGGACCAGAATTCATTAAAATTGAAGCTGTAGCTGTAAAAAGCTTCATAAAAATTAAAAAAAACGCGCTACGCACTTATTTTTCAACTAAAAAAAAATTAAACTACAATTAACTACAAACGATTCTGGTCCTGAATTCATTAAAATTGAAGCTGTAGCTGGAAAAAGCTTCATATGATTTAAAAAAAAACGCATTACGCACTTATTTTTCAACTACAAACAAAAATTTTAAAACCACAATCAATTACAAACGATTCTGGACCAGAATTCATTAAAATTGAAGCTGTAGCTGTTAAAAACTTCATATAAGTTAAAAAAAACGCAGTACGCACTTATTTTTCACCAAAAAAAAAATGTAAAACTATCATTAACTACAAACGATTNCCCATTACGCACTTATTTTTCAACTAAAAAAAGTGTAAAGCTACCATCAACTACAAACGATTCTGGACCTGAATTCATTAAAATTAAAGCTGTAGCTGGAAAAAGCTTCATATGATTTAAAAAAAAACGCATTACGCACTTATTTTTCAACTACAAACAAAAATTTTAAAACCACAATCAATTACAA